AACAGTCAGAATACAATACCTCACAATTTGAAGTATATTGGTTAAAGCATTATGAAGAGTCTTGCTTCAATAGTGGGGAAAAATAACCCTAATCAAAATGCTGCCCTAGTCCCATATAACAAAGCTTAAAATCAAGATCCAGTGCCTCGGGTGTAACCCAGTGGTACAGAGCTTGTCTAGCAAGTGTGAGACCCTGGATTCAATACCTAGTACTTGAAAAACAAACAAAACCATAACAAAAACAAAAACAAAACAAAAAAAGATGATAAAAGTATTTCAAGAACAAAGTATTTTCAACTTTGTTTTCAACAACTTCAGTTAAGAACAAAGCTATATATCATATCATTTATAGGAAAACAAAAGTATATAGCATGCAAAATATTATATTCACAATGTCTACATCCAATAAAAATGATTATGCACGTATGCTGCCATTAAAACATGACAGAAGTCATGGAAAATACTTGCACAAATGGGGATGGCTGTATTCCAATTAAAATTTATCCATAAGGAAAAAAATCTGGCTATATTCAGCCTAAAGACCATAGTTTCCTGACCCTAAGTTAAAGATTCATATTATAAGCACTAAATAAACTATTAAAATAATAACCAAAGTGCTATAGTTAATATTGATAACAGCAGTGATTAAAAAATAAAATAGTACAAAAATTATTTAAAAGAAAAAAAAAACAAAGAATAAATGAGACTTAAAAGAGTATAAGTAGCAACTGGTAGATTTAACCCCAAACATTTCAATGACCATATGAAATATAACATATTTAAAATCCCAGTTAAAGATATTTCAGATTGGATAAAAATCCAGGAAACTTTATGCTTCCTTAAATACCACACATTAAAATATGAAGATACAAATGGGTAAAAAAGTTAAAATTTGGAAAATGATATACTAAACCAATACTAATAGTTTTTTTAAGCACCTAGAGTACTTTGATATTAACATCAAAGTGGATTTCAAAGTAAAAAAAAATGAAAAAGTAAGTCAACATAATGATAAAAGAGTCAATTCATCAAGAAGAAATAATGTTCATAAAGGTTTATGAAACTGCCAGGTGCAGTGGAGCACACCTGTAATCCCAGAAACTCAAGAGGTTGAGGCAGGAAAATTGCGAGTTCAAAGCCAGCCTCAGTAACGGTGAGGTGCAGAGGAACTCAGTGAGACCCTGTCTCTAAATGAAATACAAAATAGGGTTGGGGATGTGGCTCAGTGGTTGAGCCCCTGTTTCAATTCCCAGTACGGGGGGGGGGAGGGCACGGACAGATTTATGAACCTAGTGACAGAAATAAATGAAACAAAATTTGATAGAATTTAGTAACAATATAGTAGACCAAATACCACTATTAACAAACTTGACCTAGCTGACATTTATAGAACATTCTACCACCCAATAACAGAACAAATATTCTTCTCAAAGGCACATAGAATATTTACTGAGACACTGTATTCTGAAGCATACAGTTTATTCTGAAGCATAAAGCAACTATAAATTTAAGAGAATTCAAGTCATAAAAATGTTTTATGACTATGGTGACATTAAATTAGGAATCAATATTAGCAAAATATTTAGAAAAGGAACAAATATTTGTAAAATAAATAATGTTTCTAAATACCCAATAATTTAAGGAAATAAAGGAAAATTAAAAGTATATTGAAAAATGAGCAGGGGACTGCCACATACAAAATTGTGAGAATGACATTAAAGCAGTAATTAGAAGGAAATTTGTACCAATACCCACAATAGAAAAGATGAAAGTCTTTGAATGAATAACTTAATATTCCATCTTAAAAAATAGAAAAAAGAAAAGCTAATGAAACACGAAGTAAGCAGTAATAAAGGCTAAAGCAGAAAAAAATGAAATGGGGAATGGAAATACAATAGAGGATAAAAATAAATAAAACCAAAATCTGGTACTTTTAGGAGAAAAATAAAATTGATAATCTCCTGACAGGACAAAAAAAGAGAAGACATTTATTAACATTAAGAATAAGAGCAGTGATACCATCAACAACTACATAGTTATAAAATAAAAATTATAAGGGAATATTATGAGCAACTTTATGCCTATAAATTTGGTAACATTGACGGATAAATTCCTGAAAGACACAGGCTAGCAAAGCTCACTAAAAAACAAAGAATACCTTAAGTCTACATGTAAATTGAATTTTTTGTTAAACATCATTGTAAACAAAACCCCCAGGCTCTGATGGCTTCACTGGTGAATTACATCAATCATATAAGAACCATTATCACTGAATCTACATAAACTCTTCATAAACTCTTGAATAGGAAAAGAACAGGAAAAAAAATCCTACCCAACTTATCTTATGAGGAAAGAATTACTGTGATACCATAAATAGAAAATAATATAAAAACATTAGTCAAATATCCATCATGAAAATATATGCAAAAGTTATTAAACTTTTAGCAAATAGTATCCAGCAATATCAAAAAGTATACTGCACCATGATGAAATGGGGCTCTTATACAAATGCAAGGTTGGTTCAACATCTGAAAATCGATTACTGTAATTCACCACATCAAAAGACTAAAGATGAAAAAACAAAATCAACTCAATAAAATGGAAAAAAATATTTCACAAAACATAATATCCATTAAAAAACTCTTTACAAAGCAGTAAGAAAAAGAAAAACATCTAAAAATACAAATGTTTGACTTAATGGTTTATGGTGAAATTCTGCTTCCCCCTAAGATCAGAACCAAGGCAAGAATGTTTGCTCCCAACAGTCCTATTAGACTGGAGGTTAAAGGCAATGTAGCAAAGACAAAAGAAATAAATGATGTTCATAATCGAAAAGAAGAAGTAAAACTACTTGGTCACAGAAAACAAATACAATGTCCCTGAAATCTATTTTTTTAAAGTTTTAGAAGTAACAATTATGTTGAGCTACATAAAGGTATACAAACTAAACATAAGAGGAATAAGTATTTCCATCCAATTTAAAATTAAGAAATCTGTTTTATTGATTTCTTATTGATAAAATTTATTGACTTCTTAGCATTAAAATAGGAACCACTTAGAGATAAATTTGACAAAAGATGTGTAAGCCCTATATACTGAAAAAAAGACATAACTGAGAGAAAATAAATAACTGTTAAATAAATGAAGAGAGAAATCATGTTTATGGATTGAAAGACTAAATATTGTTAAAATGTCAATTAAATGCAAAGTGACCTATAGATTCAATGCAATCCCAATCAAATCCTATCAGTTTCCTTTTAGAAAGAGAAAAGTTAATCTCAAAATTAATATGAAAATTCAAATAAACCGGAAGAGCCAAAACAACTTTTCAAAAGAAAACCAAAGCTCAAGAATTATACTACCTTACTTCAAGATATACTATAAAGGTACAGTAGTCAAGACAGTGTGGGATTGTCATAAAGACAGATGAATCAACAGAATAGAGTATCCAGAAATAGTCCTTCAAAAATATGATCCTTTGGTTTTCAAATAAAATAAAAAATAATTCAATGAAAAAAGGACAGTATTTTCCAATGATGAAGCTAGAAAAACTGGATATTCACATAAAAGACTTCAATACATACCTAAAACCATATATTAAAATGAGATTAAAATAGATCAGAAATCTAAATGTAAAACCTGAACTACAAAACCTCTATAATATATAGGAGAAAATCTTTACCTGCGATGAGGCAAATATTCCTTAAACAGGATATTATAAACACAATTTATTAATGCAAAAACTATAGTAAGACTTTATAAGAATTGCTAAGAACTTCTGTTTGGCAAGCGGTACCATTAAGATATTGAAAAGACAAAACTATGAACTAGAAGAAAATCTGCAACAAACATATGATCAAGGAATGTCATCTGAATATATAAGGAAATTTTAAAACACAGTAAGAAAAGAAACCAATTAAAATGGGGAAAAGGGTTAAACACATTTTATCAAAGAAGACTGACAGAAAATAGGTACAGGAAAAGATGCTCACATCATTTGTCATTAAGTGTGATGAAATTTATAACTACAATGAGGTACAGATTCATCAGATTTATCAGATGTCCCAACTTATAAAAGACTGACCATACCAACGTTACTAATGATATGAAGCAACTAAAACTCTTATATGCTGCTGGTGGGAATGTAAGTATATAACCACTTTGGAAAACAGTTTGTCAGTGTCTTTAAAAGCTATAATATCCACCTCCCATATGACATGGCCATTATATTCCTAGGCATTTACTCATGAGAAATGAAACGAATCACTTGTGCATGAATGTTTACAGCAGCTTTATTGGTAATATTCCAAAACTGCAACAACTCAAACATCCATCAACAGGTGAAGAGATAAACAAATCATGGAGTATCCATAAAATGGGCAATGTTACTCAGTAATAAAAATGAACTGTTGATACATACAACAATGAAGGATGAATCAAAATAATTATGATCAGTTAAGCAAGACTAAAATTAATATATATTGCATAATTCAATTTACATAACCTCCTAGAAGATACAAACCACATAATGACAAGAAGCAGATTCAGTAGGTTAGGGTAGGAATAAGGCATTACAAATGCACATAAGAAAACTTTTGGAGATGATGGATATGCTACTTATTTGATTTTAATTATAGTGTCAAAATTTATCAAATTGTATATTTAAGATGTATAGTTAATTGTATGTCAATTATACTTCAATAAAGCTATATTAATGAACACATTAAAAACTAACCTGAAAGGCATTTATCTTGAGGAGCCAAAGTTCTAGGCTTGATCCTACCTCTTCAATCAGTTACTCATATGTTTTTTGTGTTTAAAAGTATAATGAGTAGTAGACCAAGATGATTTAAATGACATGCAGACAGAAAATGCCATTGACTATCACATCACTAAATGTTATGTAATGAAACAATAATTACCAATTGAATTTCTATAGGAAAATATGAGTTTTCTTAATTTTTGTTTCTATAAAACAGTAAAAATTTATACATACTCACCTCTTTGGATAATCTTGTAAAGACATCTCCTCCCCTGAGAAAATCCAATATTAAATACAGCTTCCCTTCAGTCTGAAAAGCTAATTATAAATCATAATGTAGTAACAGTATAATCTAAAAGGCTTAAAAGCTTAATATACTTTTAAGTTAATATGTCTGTTTAGAATCTTATCCCTAAACACTATAAAGCAATTAAATATTTACTCACATGATCCATTGTTGGATAACATCTCAAAATTAAATGCATTACTTAATCCAATGTTAAAATAGCTATGAATTCCTTTTCAGAACATAATCAACTTTGCCTGTGGCTTTACACCTTTACACAGAAACTTCTATCACCACTGTTTCTCTGATTTTTGTAGTATGTTGTTCTACCAGTCTGAACTTTGCCCCCAGCCATCTATCGAAAATCAATTAATTTGGGGCTGGGGATGTGGCTCAAGCGGTAGCGCGCTCGCCTGGCATGCGTGCGGCCCTGGTTCGATCCTCAGCACCACATACCAACAAAGATGTTGTGTCNATATTAAAAAAAAAATTCTCTCTCTCTCTCTCTCTCTCTCCTCTCTCACTCTCTCTTTAAAAAAAAAGAAAATCAATTAATTCCATAAAGCTCAACAAAAACGATACCTCCTTCATTAATCCTTCCATGATTTCTTCCTTTTCTTACTTTCCTATAGCATCCTTAATCCCATCCACATGAAAATTATTTGCTGTTACTCTTGGTATCTCATCATACTTTATATATGCCTCTTTTATGATACTTATTTCATTTTGATTTATAATTTTTTTCATTTGCATGTCTATGTTCTCTATAGAGTATAAATTTCTTGAGGTCTGAGACTTTAATTCCATAATCACTGCATTTAGTACCGTGTTTTGCATAAATAGATGCTTAATGATTAATGACATACTGGAGATTAAAAGTCCTCAGATAATGCTATTTATATTCTATTAGGATAACAAAGAGTGAAGGAATAATGGATGAACATTTTTTTGTAGGTTTCTTAAAATACAACTGGGTAGGGCTGGGGCTGTAGCTCAGTGGTGAAGCACTTGCCTAGCATGCATGAGGCACTGGGTTCGATCCTCAGCACCACAAAAAATAATAAATACAGATACTGTGTGTTCATCTACAACTAAATATAAAATATTTACCAGTAAATATTTTAATGTAATATTTGTCGAAATTACTATAAGTATAAAAAATAGCTGCTCCTAATTTTTTAAATGTAGAAAAATGACAGTGACACAGTAAACTGTATCAGTAGTTTAATTTTATTTTTTACTTCCCCCGAGAAGCCATAATCTCATTCATAACTTAACCCTGGAGCCATGATTCAAATTCAGAAATACCTGACTCCAAAGCTCCTGTTTTTTTCTATGATACTCAGTATTTTAAATGATAATTTGTTACTTCTATGTATAAAAAATAGTTCAAATAGACTAATGTAACTACATGGTCCTCTTGAACAAAACCAGGAAATAATTAATATTGTTATTATGAACAAATACTCAAATATTTTACATAAATTATCACAGTAGTATATTGCCTAAGATCACTGGAGGTGCAGCCTAGTATAGGAATATTTCTAGACAAGTAAGTAGAAGACAATATCTTGTTACTTTGGACAAATTAACGAACACAGACAATAAAAAAAATAAAAATAAAAGTTACATGTTTATACTCATTTCAGATAAATACATTTTACATAGTTGAATACATTAATATGCTTGAAGTATTTTTTCTTATTATTTTATTGTGTAAAAGGGAATCTTCATTTTCTAATTCTCTAAATAATAAGGATTACATACCATAGTGCAGTTTGACAATAAATGGGTGATTTACTTCCACCAGTATATCCCTTTCCATCTTTGTCCGAACTCGGTCTCGAACTAAAAATTACAGGAGAGTAGACTATATTAAACTTGTTGATAATTTCAATAATGATCTAATCAATGATTTACCAATCAAGAATATAAAAAATATATAATTTCATAGGTGCCTAAATTTACAGTATATATATTCCTAGATAATAATGACCATATTCTCAGAACATCAACACATTCAATATATATCTAGAGATAGGTAATAGTGGCATAAATCAATATTTGCCTACTATGTATTTCTTGTGTATTAGCCTTTATTGTGCAAATGGTATATCATTTAAAACTGAGCTTATTGCTATTTCTATCACAGCCTAGAAGATAGTATAAAGTTTATGTAGGTGATTGTGCTTTCTTAATATGTAACACCAACACAGATATTACAGGGAAAAAAAATCAATGAAAGAAAAGAGTATATCTTGATAAAATTAAATTAAATATGTCACATTTCTAAGCATGAAATATTTACCCAGATATACTATCTTTAATCACTTACTTGCTGGTTAGAAAACTTAACAATTATTAATGTTAAGAAGAAACTACATCTACTCACATTATAGATGCAATATATAGCATATTTTTTAAACAAACTGTGTTTTAATAAATTTTCTAATTTTCTACCTTTTAAAGAAGCTTTTTTTAACACCTTCATTGCATAGAGCTGCCCAGCATCAGGTCCAGTCTTCTTTCTAACCAGAAACACCTAATAGGAGAATTTTTTAAAAAGTGAAATTCAAGTCATTGTTCGTGTGTGTGTGTGTGTGTGTGTGTGTGTGTGTGTGTGTCTTTTTTTTAAGGTTGATGGACAAGTACTATCACTTAGACAAGAGCAAGAAGTTCTGGTATGCTATTGCAGTCAAGTAACTATAGATTAAAAAAAATAGTCTATACATTTCAGAAAGCTAGAAAAATGAAGACATAGTTGGCTACCCATAAACTCACTAGCACATCTTTATTCTTGAATTTTCTCTAATGTTATAAAGATAGACCTTTCCCATAAGTATAGTGTAATTTATATACTCTCTCATTCTGCGTCACTGAGTAAAATCACACTATGCATAATACCACTTTAGAAATGAAAATTTTAAAAGGAGATGACACAGTAATATACTTTGAGAAGTTTGTGATGTAAGAAATTAAAAAAAAACAATGAATGACTAATTTGAGGTGGAAACCTCCTTCTAAGACCCAAGTCCATTTCCATGTCCTTAAAGCACAAACAAATCTTATTACCGTGAATTTAATACCTCCATTTCTATTCCCTTATTGGTCTATTTTAGAAGTTACCAGGCATTTTATTTTGTAGAAAGAAATCAGAGGCAATGCTTATCTTCTGTCTGCCACATGAAAGAATCAAGGTGGCACATTATCTCAATAAACAAGTGAATGTTAACTCTTTAATATTACTAGAAAACTTAAGTATTATATTATATATTCAAATTAAGAATATGATTCATTAAAAGCTACATTTTGACAAGGCTTCAGTTATGAAGAGAAATACCAAAAGATTATAATTTTATAAGAATTATTTATTATAAAATATTTATTTCATTTTTAATTAAAAAGTAATTATTGTTCTCCATCTCAACTTGCTACACAAATCCTAATAAGTTCTAATCAAGTGTTGTTGCTTTAATTTAAAATACAACTACATAACACAAACTTATTCACCTAAAATTGCAGATGGGAGAGCTGTTAACTATTTAATTTTCGTGTTTTCTCTTCCCAAAGTACAACTCAAAACCCTTAATTCCACATCATCTATGTGATAATTATATTTCAGCAAAATGGGTAGAAATCTTAATTCAAAATCTATGACATGGCATTGGCACCATTTAATAGTAACCAGTTTTCAAGTATAAATGGTAATACATTAAAAATTGGCTACTTCAGCTTACAGCTCAAAAAATTGCACAAATGTTCTGCTTTAAGACATCTATTGTATTTCAAGATGCAGTTAAACAGTTTTATGTGTACTTCCTATTTCATCATAGAATATTAAAAATAAGAGTATTTGAAGATTGAGTTTTCATAAAATTTTAATAAACTGTTTTAATAAATTGTTAATCTCTCATCATGGACATCCTTATGAGTGGGGCAGTAAGGAATACAATGATTACTGGTACTATTTGGACTCCCTACATTTATTGTGCCAATGTGCCAGCAGTTGTACAATTAATAGCTTAGAATTACTATAAAATTGCTTTGACCTGTGCATTTCCTGAAAGGGTCTTGGGGATGTCCAGGTATATGCAAACTATACATGAGAAATACTGTTCAAGAACACAGTCCTTAGTGGAATTGCAAAGAACAGAGTATACAGGGTGAGAAGAGGGAATAAGGAAGAACGGAATAGTGTAGGCTTTCACAAATACACTGTCATACACAGCAGCCATTTTTTTCCTAGCTCTTCTAACCTTCCTTAGAATCCCAATATGTCACATAATAGAAGTCATCATTCACAAACTAAGTAACCATTTGTTCATTTCCTGATCTGCCTTTTTTCAGCACATCATATCTCTCTGTCCTTTTTCCACAAACATAGAGGTATTTCTGTGGCTCCCAACATTGTATCTAAAACCAAATCTATCCAAACAGGAGAGAATCCTTTCCAGTTCCACTAAAATAATAATAGGAAATTGCCCAGAAAGGAAATGAGTAATTCCAATATATTTTTTCTGTCAATCACATGGAATTTTATATTTTCCATTAAGAAGTAAGCAATTAGCATTGATTCAGATGAACTGGAAAGTCACACATATTTAAATGCTGATTACAGAGAAAAGACCAACTGTAGGATATTTTAAAATATAAAATATATTTTTAAATAATTACTTGACAGTTATTCAGTTATTTAATAGCACAAGAGTTCAATTTTTAAAAATTCACTTTAAGTCTTACAAGTTAAAGGCTTTATTATCACAAAAGTAAAAACATTCTTTTTTATAATTCATGCATGTATGATTTATATAAATATGATATGTTATATGATGTATACATAAGTCCAATCTCATAATTTCAACCATGTTTTATGTCTGAATTTGATATAATAATTTAAGTTGTTAGATATTCTATATTTTAAACTGTGCTATTGATCATTAATAGCATAATACTATATATGCTTAGTAAGGAATTTTGTAACTTTCGTGATGATAAAGCTTGTTTTTTAAAGAATAAATTTAATTGACTTTATTAGAATTCCCTCCCATTAAGTACACTATGAAGACATTCAATATCATAAGAATTTACATGAACTAAAAATCCCATTTATTAACTTTTAAGTGCGAACTTTACAAAAAAATTAAATAAAACTCTGCAGTCTCAAAGTTTCTTGGAATTGCTCCTACCCTTATCTGATTCACAACCTTTTCCAAATTCCTGAGTAGGTTCGGCATATAAAAAGTCATACCCACACAATGCCTACACAAATGATATATAATACTGATAAGAAAGTATATTCATATCTTAAGAAGGAAAAAAATAATATTTCTTTGGTTTGGTTAATGAACTGCATAAACATCACTATTCCATATTTTAGTTTTGGGAATTTAAAAAAAAAATTAGCATTGTCCTTGTTGAACCAAAGTTCTTACACAAATCTGAGTATTCTGTGAAATTAGGACTACACTGACAACTCACCATCATGTTACTATATTGATTGTGAAGATATGACTGAAAAAAGTTCAATAAGTTATACTATCATCTTTATGAAGATCCATGAGAGAAATTTTTCTAGTCTTTTTAATCTCTTTCTACCTGAAAGATATTATCAATAATCACACATTAGAATATATCAGCTTCCCTATACTGGCTGCCAGAAAACTGAAGTCTTCATTTTTGGCCCATTTTTAGAAGTCTTATAGGACCTTATATCAAATATTTGTGAAAAACAAGATGAATTCCTGGCTTCATCTAATCATTCCTGCTCTGATATTTCTGCTTCCATCTACTTTGCCACTTATTTTTAATTCCATTTTATTTAATATTCATCTATTAATGCATTAAATCCTTTCAATAAGGCTGGGACTAAATAAATGCATATATGAATAAATATATCAAATAAGAAAACAATTAATTTTAATGGTTTGAATGTTTGCCTGGTGAGATTTTTAAGTCAAATACTTATATTTTTGGTATATAAAAGAAATTCATCTCTGTTCTTCTGAAATTAAAATCATAAAATAGCTAAAAATTTAAAAATAGAGAAAGAAATACTCCCAGAATCATTCAAATAAAGATATTTAGAATGAACATGCCTACTCTACAGGCCAATTTGAAAACCATCTGTCTACCACCACTAATAGCCCTTTTTAGTTTTTCTCTCCCTGGAACCCTGCCTTATCTGGTGTCTTCAGATATCTCTTTTTACCAATTTACTGCCAAGCCATAATTCATCTCATTTTGTTCTTTGTGTGGCCTGAAAATGTTTCTATATATTTCACATATTATATTCTACAGTGCAGATACATTAAGTTACTTTAAGACAACTAATGTCTCCAATATATTCACCAATACTATTCATACAACTGTTGTGCACATACAAAATACTCAATAAATGTCTTTCTTTAAAAATGTTCCAGAGCACTATAACTAACCACTGCTCAGTTGCCTTCCTTTTTCCCTTTGAAACTACCTCAACTAGTAAGAAATTAGTTTCTACTTAACTTTCCTCCTCCTTAAATTATGGTTGTTGCTGTTTTACTAAAGGCTGTTACTTGTTGCACATATGCAATAATCATGTCTCAGATATTATATGTACAAAGGTCAGGAACCAGACCCACATATTATTTTTTTCCAAGAAAACATGGTATCAAACACTTAATAAACAATCCTAATAATAAGTGTATGAGTAATTTTTTCAAATTTTTGCTTTCTTAAATTTTCAATTCTTTAAAGGCAGGAATTTCACATAATACCTATCAGCCAGTACCTACCCTTGTTCTACTATACACATCCATGATCTACTTCACTTTAACAGATGATAGATGAACCTACAAATTCACACATGAACTAAAATATAAATTCTAATTTCAAGGATAGACCTAATGTACATGTAATCACCATCACACAGCAAATTGTGTTTGTAACATCATAAACAGGGAGACAAGGAATACTACTATCCATAAAAATCTAACTACCTTGATTTAGGCACTTAAAAAAGTGCATGCTGCATTTTTTCATAAAGAAATCAGTAATCCCAGGGGATTCGAAAATCCTACTACACAGAAGTATAAGAAAATAGAAATAAAAGAACAACAGAAATAAAATTAATAAAACTGGAGTTACCTATGTGTTTTTCCATTTTTATTGGTTCTTTTTAATTATATATACCATCAGGATTAATTTTGACATGATTTATAAAGGCAGGTGTGCATATTTTGAGAAGTTTAGAAACATTTATCAAATTTATATTCATGTATATACTTTTTTACTAAATGTTTACAAGAAAAACAAATGTAGAAGGCTGGGGCTGTAGCTCAGTGGCAGAGCATTTGCATACCATGTGTGAGGCAATGGGTTTAATCCTCAGCATTGCATAAAAAATATACAAATAAAATAAAGGCATTCTCTCTGTTTACAACTATCAAAACATTAAAAACCAGAAATGTAGAAAATTATTAATTACCTTTCCAAATGATCCCTGACCAAGAACCTTGAGCAACTCAAATTGTGCAGGATCTGCTTTCTCATAACCTTCCTTAACATGATGAATGATAGGAATTTCTTTAACCACACCTTCATCCTGTAAAATATAAATTCAAATAATACTCAAATATAGTTCTAACATCTTGTGATTATCTTTTTAGGAAAGAAATCATATAATTTCCACCTCTCTAGATCCATCACATAGTTTTACAGGCTACTGATATGCCCATTTAACTGTTTTCTAACTTAACAAACAGATACACCACAACCATCTTCCCTACCATATATTTTCCTGTAAATGGAAGCAAAATATAAAAATAAAATAAAATCTCTGCTTCAGTTTCCAAATAGAAAACAATAAATGAAAGTATTAACAACTAACCTTCTTAACACCCTCACTGTAGTGTGACTTATGAAGCAGAGGAATTTTTACATAAAATCTTGTAAATTGTGAAGCATGGCAAAAAATATACACTTCAAGAGTTATTTTCAATACTGTTTTACTATACCCACTTTAATATTTTTAATACCTTTATTTATTTAATTAATTTATCTTTTTTATGTAGTGCTGAGGATCAAACTCAGGGCCTTGCATATACTAAGCAAGCACTATACCGCTGAGCCACAACCCCAAACCACAGCCATTGGAATATTTAAGTGTACAATTAGACACATCAATGCAAAAGAAACTGGCATAAACAAAAGAAAATTTTGAGAACCCAAACAAATGTTTCCAGGCTATGGCCCTAGTATTATTAAATATTTGAATATAAATTACATGCCAGATTTTCTATCATCTGGCCAGGCAGAAAGGAAGCTACTCAGGAAATATTTGAACCCTATGATATAGGGCTCCACTCAGCTGTGATTACTACACTCAAGTGAGTTTTGATTCTAATCCCTAAAGAACACATAGTTTCTAGGGGAAAAAAATACTCAGCTACTTTACTTAGCACAAAATAACACACCTGGAAGGATCTGGAAGAGATCTTATCCAACCCTTTTGTACAGAGTTTTTCGCATGAACAGTTAATCACAATGTCTAGAAGTTTTGAAAGTGTTCCACTATACCATATTAATTCTGGTTTGGATGGTAAAAATGGTCTTGATCAATTTACCCTTAAATTGATTGACCAATTAATGATGCCCGTGGCCAAAGTGAACAAGGGTATGGTCCCAAATTAGACAGGCTTCATGGCAGCTTAAATAACTTTCATGTTACATAGGTAATCAAACACTCACTCTATTAAGAGAAGTGCATAAACAGAGAAATTTTAGTTTTAGGTATTAGGAACCATTAATAAATGAGTCAGAAAAAAAATACTAATTGACTCACAAAGTATGTCAATGGGTGTTTCTTATACATCAAAGTAACATTTAACCAGACAGTTTTAAGTATTCAGTGATTTATAAATTTTTTCTAAAAATAAGGGCTGAGAATGTGGCTCAATCGTAGAGCATTTGCCTAAGCATGAAGCCATGGGTTCAATTTCTAGTGTTCACCAAAAGATACATAAATCTACTGAGTCTGCTTTACCATTTGAACAGGTCCTTTTTTTTACAGTGGAGAATTTTTTTTTAATGTAAAAGTACATGCTCTGCAGCTGACATTTTGGGAATGTATTAAATTAAGGTGTATTTGTATGGATCTTTACAATATATACACACCAAAAACAACAATAGATTACATGTTTTATTAATATTATGGATGATTTCACTACATATTATGCCTATATTAGTGGTCTTCAAAGTATGAAAGTTTCTGGAAGTTTCCTCCTGTGGGAAGAACATTAGAAGAGACAACAGACTTTCTTTTGCTCCTAGCTCTGCCATGCATAAACTAAGCACCTTTAACCACATCACAAACTGTACTCTACTTCAGTATTTTCAGATGACAAAGGGATCTTGTTAGATGGGTGTCTAGGCCTGGCTTCCATATTGAACACAATATACTGTTTTCATGATTAAGAAGGCGCTTCAAGTACTTTGCATGTTTAAGATCATTATAATAAGCATGGATCATGATAACATCAGGTTTTTTAAGAAGTGCTCTAAGTGTGGAAACAACTATATGCTAATTAGGTTCAACAAACCTAAACAAGTCTTCCAAATAAAAATGTTTATTCAGCATCCCTTCCTCCCTTTATTAAAATCCACACATGCCCATCCTTTAAAACTGCAATATGTCTTTTGATTTTCAACAGAAGTACCCTAAAAGCTCCAAACAGGAAAATGCTAGTAGATAAGAAAAAACAGTCTTCCTAGCAGGCAGCTATCCTATAATAATGTTATAATGTGTTCTAATATCTTGTCTTTCTTTCCCACTGGACTGTTAGTTTCTTCAATGCAGCTATTACCACATTCATCTCTGTACTCCTAACACTTAGTACAATACTTGTTTGATCTTATGGGAGAAGAAAGCTAAACATTTTTATAAGAACAGAGGGAAGAAAAACAGCTCTTACCAAACATATGAAAAAAGGTAATTCTGTTCGGTAACAGAGTAATTTGTTTCACTATATTAAGCATTTCACTATACATATTGAAATATTTTGTATGCTTAAATGCATACAATAAAACAAATTATTTTAAAATGTAAAATTAACCAATAAGAAAAATCAAAATTATTTTAAATAGTTAAAAAATTATTGGTAGATATTGTACAGAACAGTGGGTTTCATTGTAGTATATTCATATGTGCATATAACATAATTTGATCAATTTCAATCCCTAATATTTCCCCTTGTCCTTCCCTCTTCTAGGCCCCTGACCCCTTCCTCTATCCTAATGGTCGCCTTCTATTTTCATGAAATCTTTTTCCCCTTTTTTTCCCCTCTAACTTCCACATATGAGAAAAAAAAAATATATAGTGCTCTCTTTCCCAGTATGGCTTAAATGGATAAAACTGGAGATCATTAAGCTAAATACTTTCTAAAAAGCAGAAAAAAAATATATATCCAGAATTTATTTTTACTATACAAAGGAAACAGGAAAACAGGAATTTCATCCTGGGTAATGGAACTCTGTGAATTTTGAATATCATTAACCTTCTGTTAAGCAATATTTATAAATTTAATAAAATGAGCATTTTCCCCTTAGAATGTGGATAATGTTAACAAACTTTGGCCATTATTCATAATTAGTACATTTATTACACTGTACTGTATTCAACACAAATGAAAGGCATAATAACCCATAACCTGTATTTTTAAAAGCTGATATTAATTTAATACTTACCATTTGCCTTTTTAATAAATACAATTGTCCATAGGCAGCTGAAAACTACACATTATATCACTAAATTATGGCAGGTTTGCCTTTAAGTAGATAGTACTTTATATTATAGTTTGTTTGTCTTTAAGTAGATAGTAGTATATAATGACCTATGTACACATAAGGATCACCTACAGAAGAAAAATGCATTCAATACACTTGTTTGGATCACAGTTTGAAAGATTATGGTTCAGGAAAATTAGGGTAGGTAAGGCATGTGTACTTTTAAATCTCACCAGATTATTTTGATACTTGGCTAGAATCTAGGTGCTTCCAATATGGGTAGCTAAAGTTATATATATATATATATTTATATATATATATCTATATTTGCATATATATGTAACTTTATACTGAAGAAAGACACAAAATACATATACATATATGCATGCACATATGTATATGTAAGTGTTTATAGCTACTTATTACAGAGCTGTTTTTATCATTTGTATTCCACTCTTTTTTTTTTACTGTCAAAGTAACTGATGCACTCCTGTGTCACCATTTCCAACATTGTTTTTTCTTATTTCCTCAGTTTCCAGCCACATTCCTAACTATTGCTGAACATCTTGCAGCATGCCCAAGTTCATTGTTTACTATTATAATTTTGTTTTATTGTCTCTGAAACTCCCCCTTCGCTCTCTACCTCTCTACCTTTATTCAGGTTCTGCACTATTCCAAAAGCTTAAGAGTAGCAACAATCTAGCTTTATATAAGGTAGTAGTTTACTTCTGAGTCTTCTGTTTTTTCCTAAGGGTAAATAATGCTCAAGAAAGTTCTTTATCCTTGTATAATAAATTTGTGGTATATCATCTTATATCCCCATGTATATACTCCTTTAAATTATACATATACTAAAATAATTGACAACATTCATTAAGCAATATTCTTTATCAGACACTGCTACACACTGGGGATACAGAGGTAAAATACTTAGAGGAGTCTGTCAGAACCATATTCTTAAAGAAACAAAAACCCACAAGCATGTTATGGGCTGAATCAGGTCCCCTGAAAATTGACATGTTAAAGTCCTAACACCTAGTACCTTAGACTATGACCATATTTAGGGGCCTTTAAAGAGGCAATTCAGGCAATATGATGTCATAAATGGTGGTGCTTAAACTAATAAGACTGATATCCTTCTAAGAAGAGGAAATTAAGACACATACACACTGAAGAAAGACCATATAAAGGCACACAGTGAAAGGACAAGTTAAAGAGAGGCCTCAGATAATCCAACCTGCCAGCATCTTGATCTCAGACTTAATAGACTCCAGAATTGTGACAAAATACATTTTCATTGATTAAGCCATTCAATCTATAGTACTTTGTAAGGGTAACCCTAGCAAACTCATAAATGGTATCTAATCTTAGTGGATCTATGAAAATAAAGCTGCTACTAGGAAATGAAGATTCAGAAACTACCAAACAAGAGACTACTACTCTATTCGCATTAAATGATAAATCTAAGTCAGGAATGACTGTAAGCTAGGTTAGTTCTTATAAGCTTGAAGTAATTGTTTAGGAAAAAAATGCCATTTCCACCACAAGAGAAAGAGAATGATCAGACCTCTATAATTTTTGATCATTTTTTTTTAATTCAGGTGGAGAACAATGCTGTAACACTGAAAAAACATAATGATAAAGTAAAAAATTAACTGCCAAATACACTACTGCTCTGTTCATTTGAAAACTGATTTCTTTAGGGAAAACAAATCACTTGTTAAAGAGAAAGAGAAAGAGCTGATGACAACCTATTAATAATGTACTATACCTGAATCACAACATTTTCACAGAATTATGGAATTAACCTCTAAAAAACAA